TATTATTCCCCTGTTTGGTTCGAATTAAAGTCTGATTTTAATCTCAAGTTAAAGTCAACAATTAATTTTAACCATATATTTCATTGGGTCCATAATTTTTCAACCACATATTTTATCAACTTTTATCAAAATCTACTAAAAATCTGATTTTAATTTATATCAAACAGAGACTATATTTTTGGGGTAAATAGGACAAAACATCCATACCTTTCAATATCATTGTGCAAAATGTCTTTACCTTTCATTTTTCAATAAAAGACGATTTTACCCTCCCATTCAAATAAAACAAAAAGAAAAAGATGAATAACTAACTGCGCCTATAGTCCTTAATTTTTTTAAAAAAATTACAAAGAAATCATAAATTCTCAACCACCACCACTTTCACAACCTACCAAGCGCCACTTATAGATCCACATAGCATCACCTTTCGACCACCATGCCCACCGGACTCCACAACCACCAACCTCGCTTCACTCCCCCACCGTCTTCCCCCACATGAATTTGCAGATTGGAGCACTTAGGACCCACCAATTTTGGTCAGACAACTCTCTTCGTGCATCGCGCTCGAGGAGAGTTTTGGACTAGAAATTGAAACGGTTGGGGGTTAATTGGTTCAATTAGATTCATATCCATTGTCATTTGAGTTTGTTGATGGTTCGATTAATGCCAATTTGGGGATTTAGTGTGCGTGATGCATGAATTGAAGGAGAAGAGTTTGGCAAAATGGACGTCGCCACTGTCGAATATCTAGATTACAGTAGAATGATTTGAGGCATGTTTGATTGATGTGAGGCCATGTATAGGTTCGTCGATATGAGGGGTAACCGTCGGTGGTGGTGCGCGACCGTGGGTGGCGCCAAAAGTGGGATTGTCGTTAAAGGTTGTATACGACAGTTTGATATTTTAGGTTGCAAATGTGGATGTTTTCGGCAAATTTTGTGACTAATACCGTGGGAGAGAATATTGGGGAGAGTGAAGCGAGGCCAGTGGTGGTGGAGTCAGGCGAGCATGGGGGGCTAGAAGGTGGTGTTATGTGGATCTATATGTGGCGGCTGGTGGGGTTGTGAAAGTGGTGATAGAGAATTTAAGACTTATCTGTAATGTTTTGAAAATTTTAGAACTATGATTGCAATTAGTTGTATATTTTTTCTTTTATTTTATTTTTGTTTCATTTGAATAGAAGGGTAAAATTGTCATTTTATTGGAAAAATGGTTGAAAAATACATTTTGCTCAATGAAAGGTGGAAAGTAGGGGTGAAAATGTCAAAAAATGAAAGGTAGAGACGTTTTGCACAATGTAACGACGTTATGTGCTATCTACCCTATTTTTTATTCGGTCTATTTTGAGTAAGGCAACTATTTCAAACGAGTTCATTACATACCATTTGTCGGGAGACATTGGATTTTACGCTTTATTACTTTTTTGTTTGCAAATGGAAGGTTAGAAAGGGAAGAAAGGAACTTGTAAGGTGGAACGAGTTTGGTGAAAGTGATAATGGATTGCTTGTCGTTGAGTGGAGAGAGGAACAAATAAGCACACAAGAATACTCCTTTAATTATACTAATAACTTTAGTGGGCATTCACAATGTCTCTCTCTCTCTATATTGTTTACATTTATTTTTTTCCTTGAAATGCTACGTGTAGAGCGTCTCCAACAAATTTAATGGATTTTAATTTAGATGGTATCCAAATATATAGATTTTTTTTAATCTACGTGGCGTTATTATCTATTGAATAGGCGATCAAATTTAAATTTCATCTCCGACAATTCTATCTATAATGCAAATCTTATCTCTAATGCATTTTTAATAATAGACAGAAAATTAATATTAAATTATGGTGATATACTGTCTAAAAGAACCTTTACATATAGACGGCTCTCTTGATGGTATCCATTTTTTCTTGTCATGTCGCTATACGCAATCCTAGACCTTTTGAAAATATTGTTCATTTGAACTTATGTTACAACCTTTTTAGAGCAATTCACGTGAACTTTGGGGACGCTCTAATTGTCTCAACAAGACGAATTCAATAAAAATCTTCTAGCAATTAAGTGAGGGATAAACTTGGCTATTTATACTTATATTTTGAGATAATTACATTCACGACCTAAATTCTTTGGGGTAGTTGGCACTTAGGTCCCATTCTTTTGTTGTGGTTTGTGGGTGGGAGTCATTTCTTTTGTTTTTTTTCCTAACTTTTTTCTTGGAGAAGGTTAAAATGGTCATTTTCAGTAAATATCTATCCTTCACATATAAGTTGCATGCAGAATTAATGATATTACTTTGTAAGAAAATCAGAGTTCGAGATCTGCATATCATAAAGGTTGAAAATAAAAATTGAAGTACCTATTATCACTTCATAACGATGATTCTAGCCTATGTCATTTTATCTGTCAAAAATCGATTTTACGGTACAGCTTAGAGTTCACAGAAATTGGTGTTTTTTGCTTTCTTGCATAATCATTCGACAAAAATTAATTCCAGTTTAATAAATTAGAATAAGATATGTAAGACAAGATTTGAAATTAAAATATGCAGCTGGTTTTCAGGAAAATAATGTGAGACTCGATAATTAACAACATAAGACCACGTAGTACAATGATCCTAACATCACGGTAGCTTTTGAGACAAATCTTGAAAGCTTGGTAGGTGCACAACTTTTGAGACAAATCTTGAAAGCTTCTAAAATAAAATTATTTCGCGAGACAGTTAGAACTTCCTTCCATCTTCCGATATAGTTAAAACTGTCTTTCAAGACAATTAGAATAATTTAGCGTATTTATCTCAGAAATTGTGCACCCAATAAATGACATTTACATTTTTTGTCAACAAAAAAAGAGTATAATTGACATTTAAATGTAAAAATTACCATTTTCCTAATTTCTCCAAAAAGTATGTATTTTTCTTTCACACAAAAACATCGTATTATGTCAATAAGCACGTGTTTGTAGGGATGGCAACGGGACGGGGGGCCTCCTCGCCCCGCTAAGAAATTCCCCGCCCCGTTTAAGGCAAGGAGGGAAATTTCTTAGCCCCATTTACTACCTCATTAAAATTTTTTTTTTTAGTTTTTGATAATTTATTTTTATTGTCCATATTAATCAGATTTAGGTAAATAATTTTAGTTGTTATTTTCTATTAGAACTAATGAAATTTTGTGAATTTTTCATTTAAAGTATTGAATTCTAAAAAAAAAATTAAAAAAAAAATTTAACGGGTCGAGGGCGGGGGGCCCGTTACCTGTCCCCGCCCCGGGTCAAAATTCCCCGCCCCAATACCTAATTAAGTAGGTTATCCCCGCCCCCGTTCGAGGCGAGGCCCCGCGGGTATCGAGTTTTTTTGCCATTCCTAATCGCGCCTCACTGCCGATAGTCTTTCCTACTCTAAGAAAATTTTATTTTATTTTTAGTTCAATTGTTGTTTTTAAATCTACAAGAAAATTTGGTATGGACAAAAATATCCCTACTTAAAATGGTCAAAATACTATTTTTATATTTTCCAGACCAACTAACAGTTTCCGTTAATTTGGCCCTCAGCTATATATTTATGAAAGGTTAGACACTTTCGTTGGCACAAA